CAATTATATGATATCGTTTGAAGTAAACACATGAAAGTTTGATTATGATAGTTCAAAAGTTGTTGGTTGTACAAGTTATATTTTCATACGAAGAAAAAGATACAATTGTATCGTATCTCCAAAAAATTTCATTTTTGAATATGCTAGTGATGTAAAGAATTATAAGACATGAAATCATTAAGTCTGCAAAGTTATCATCAAAAGTCATCTTTATTTTGATGAATACAACTCATTGAAAGAAGGAGAGACTACTTGTATTAACAAGATCAAATCTCCACTCAAGAATATTTTTGAAAAATAGTATCATCGTGTGATTAATGATGTGACATAAGCAGAAATTTTGGTACACATAGAGATAATTCTTTGAGAGCATGATTTGAAAAAACACAATATTTTTTATCAGACTTAAATATTTGCATTTGATGATAATGATCAAAATATTGTACGATTTGTGTATAATCCATGTATATAGGTGTATATATATGTATATATATATATATAAGTTTAATAATGAAATCTTCAATTTTATTTTTCTAGTATATTATGTGCATGACATGTTCATTATGATAAAGAAATCATTTTGACATCAAGAAAAAGCTAAAGTTTGCATTTAAGATGACAAATTTGGGTAAATACAAGAGTATACTAAGCATATATATTCATAAGGATCTTCAACATCTGGTTCCTAGTCTTACTTTTTTGACCTTAGGAACTCAAAATATAAACACTCAATTTTTTCAACTTGAAATTACTTCCATACACTTTAAGCGTGATACAAGGATTGACTTGGCTTGAAGACTCAAAGGGATGAGAAGAAAAAGCTATGATTGAATCAACACAAATAGTTTCAATGTATCTATGTCTTTTTCTATTTGTTGAATTCTTTGATTATTTATCTAACATCCCGTATGTTGTTGAAAGAAATATTGATAGAAATGAAAGAAATATATAAAAGAAATATTGATAAAAATGAAAAAAATATATGAAAGAATATTTAAATGATTAAAAAAATCTTGGATACACATGAAAAAATAAATCAAAAAGAAAAAACTAAATAAACAAGTTATTGTTGATCAATTTACAATTACCAAATAAAACAATAGATTTCAAATAATATTATTTAATAGTATATTATCTAATAAAAATATCAAGTAAGCTACAAGGTTTAAATTGTAAGTTCATTCATACATTTTTTATTTTTATATATCATGATACTAATGTTAAGTATAATGATGTGTTGATCGTGGAATGAAAATAACAGTTTTCCCAAAAAAAATCAAGATTTTTTTTTGATAAATTTAAGATTAATATTGCTATGAAACGTGATATGCAATTATTGAGGAAAAATAAGATGTAAAAGATAATGAAACTTTCAAATGAAGCAATTTTGAGTGACAGCAAGTGAAAATATAAGCTAAAAGAGTAAATTTAAAGTAATGTTGATAGTTAGAAGTTCACAAAAGAAAATGATGTGAGCAACAACAAACTATTTTCACTTGACTCATAGGTGTACATACTACAATATTTAATGTAATTATGAATTAGATGAATAAAATCATAGCATCTCTGAGTGTTTCTTTGGAAACAAATTTTAATGATATTCATTTTGATTTAAATTATTTTTGACTTTTCTCCTTGAAAGTACACCCTAACCTTGATAATATCACACCGTCCGTTTCACCGAAAAGTGTGATATAAACAAGGTGTGACATTTTTGATAATGTCACATTTTGTGCGTAATGTGATATTATCAAAAAAATAGGTAAAAACTCAAAATAAAAGTACAATATAAAAAAAAATAACAAATGAAAATATTCAAACAACCACAGATAGTGAGTGCGCAAGACTGTTATCTGGATTGTCTACGTATCTAATCAGACCAAGAAATGGACATGCAAATTCTACGTATTTATGGTAAGCCGTTGCTTGTCGATTTTTATGCACTATTGTCATTGAACTAGTTTAATGGTCAAATCTATCTAAGGCAACAAGCATTCGAGTATTACAAAAAATTGTTGTAGTGACAAATGTCTCAAGAATGTCAATACTGGCTAGCGAGAATCGACAACCCGAAGCTTACAAGCGAAAAAGGAAGAAATGCCATTAGGCGGGTTGAACATTTAAATCTTCAAAACTAGAACCACCACAAGATACTGTAATGCCTTCTGCTCTTTCGGGGCGTCCTAGCTTTGGCAGCCCAGCCGTTACCCGATTGAAACTTGCTGCTCCCGATTTAGCCATATTACTATGGCGCCTCTGCAAGTTGAGCCTCTTCTGAGAACCAATAACACGTAAACCATGTAAAACTAAAGCAAATCAATATCCAAAAAACACAAACCATGCAAACCGTGATTCAAGCGAGGTTGTAAATACTGTACATACCATGAACGACTATACATGGATATGGGATTGCAGGGGTATTTTGGCCCTAACGCACTTGAATTCCAACTGTCACATATAATCCATTCATTTTGATATTATCACAGTTACACTAGAATTTTTGGAAAAAAATAGTGACATTATCAAGGGTGATAGTGATATTAAAGAGTGAGTTTTACACTTAAGAAATAGGTTTTGAACTTTTATGTGACAATATCAAGGTGTTCTATTAACAAGTGTGACATTATCAAGGTTAGGGTGTATAGGTAAAAAATAGTTAGTTTGTATACTGCTCAAATCAATGTATGGATTAAAATACATTGATATGTCATGAAATGCTAGTTTTGATAAGATCATGAAAGCATAAATTTTTAACGGAGTGTGCATGATACATGTTTATCTCTTAGCCTATATTCTATGTCAATGACATGCTTATTTTAGCAAATGATTAATCTAATGAAGATCAACGCAAGAATCAATTGAATTTTGAAATCAACTCTTAAAAATTTGAATAAGTTGAAAAAAATATTGGTGAATTGAAATACGTGGTCAAGAAATTTGAAGAAGACAACATTATGATTAGATCAAAACCATTCTACCCCTTGTGAATTTGAAAAATTTAACAATTCAAACTTAAAATCAAAATATGAATATCTTTGACATCATGTCAAGCTTTTAAACACGTCAATAATCCATCAATGATATAAAAAATGAAAAGACATAATTAATTTTCTATGAAAAGATAGTGGATAGCTTCATGTATTTGATAATTAGCACTATATCTAAAATTGCTCTTGTTGTGAGAAGATGAAAAAATAAATTTTAAATATGTGCATTTAAAAGTTGTAGATTAAAAATATCATTTATCTAAAGATTATTAAAAATTATAAATTTTGTTTGATGATTTATTGAACAATGTTAAATTACGTGAATATTGATTATGGAAAATTTGAACAAGATTAAATCAGTTATAACACTTGTGTTTATATTTGATGATGGATGCATTAATTAGAAATTTATTTTGCAAAAGTGCGTAGTTTACAATACTAAAAAGTGAATATGAAGTGGCAACAAAAACAAGAAAAAATAAAATCTGATTGAAAAGATTTTGAATCCAATTGATACATTGACCGAAGTTATTAATCTGAAAAGTTTTAGTAGACATCATATTGATTTTCAAGTTTTGCATAAGTAAAATTTATTAATATATTTATTTATACATAATATTTATTAATTTTGGCTACGGCTAATTTTATTTGGGTTTGAATTGTATAGTATCATATGTTAGGTTTCCATCTAGATATTATTGCAGAGTTTCAAAAGAAATTTATGGATTTTACTGAGTACAGTAAAATCCAAGAGATGAATCAAGGAAAAGATTGTTACAAGTTAATTTAGGGTTTAGTTTAATTAACTTTGATTACCTAATCAAGATTAATTAACCTATTTAGTCTATCATTAAAGTTGAGAGTTAATTGCAACATTTTGTGACACAAAGTTAAACTGATCTCTCAATGGGTGTAATCTGTCAACAAAGATGAACCACATGTTTTTTTCTATGTCAATGGTTTGTTTGCTTTGTATTATATTGATAGTATGTCATATTGAAGTGATTTTATGAGTCAAATTCTCAAACAAAACAATATTCCCTCTAAATAAATCTGCCACTTTCTAAAACTAAAGCAAGTATTCTATAAAGTCTATTGACTTGAATCTCTTAAGAACTAGAATCTTTTCTTAATATTTTCACCCTTGTACTTGCTTTGATAGCATGAAACTACTAAACATAGAGAAATACATGCATTGGAAAATCTACACATAAAATATATTATTCACCTATATGATAATGCTTTGATCACTTTATTGGATATAGTATTAACTTGTGATAAGAGAGTAATCAACCTTCTTATATAATAATGATACTAAGTAGACTCTAACTGATTTGAATAGATCTCGATAATTTATTAGAACTCTTAGAAAATATATATTATGATTTCAAATTATCATATCATACTCAATCATACAATGTGATGAAATTTGATATAAGATGTGATATGATTATTGAAATCATTAATTTTGTGATCATTTATTATGTGTAATTAGTGTAATGTGCAAGAGCGGAGGTTTTAAAGTGTAAGGTTTGTAAAAATGGTATTTCCTTGTTTTCTTTATATATATACATATATGCAACTATATACGTAGACTTAGACGGGGAATAACGGAGTCTATAAAAAAACACATATTTTTGTGTATTCTTTTATTTATTTTATAACATTTGCTAGTTAACTTATTTTCGTTGTTATTCAATCAGAAGTTTTGGTATTGATTACTGCTCAACATTTCGCCTCGTAAATATTATGTTTCAAAAATAAATATTAAAACATTCCATTACAAAGATAATATATCATTAATATAAAAATAACCTTGGATACTATACTATTAATATCTGCCATTCACTCGATACGCTTTCCCTATAATATACTGATCTTGGACCAACGTGTCAAATTTGTAGTTGACATGTCGTATTCTGTCATAATTTGAATAATGATTGTGACTTGTAGAAAGTCTCAGGTTCGCTTGGTCATTTGATGGACTAAGACACTGTCAGTAGGACTATCCACTTCTGTGTATCTCCGTGAGGGAAGGATGAAATGAGGTGGATGCGAACTCCGCAAACGCCGTGATGCAGACACACCAGAGAAGAGTGCCACTTCTGCAGAGCGACTAACTTTCAGTACAAATTCCATTATCGATCGGAAACGACTGTAGGAAGAGTTGTTAGCTTGAGGTTAGAAACAAGTAAGCTACCATTTGATTCGATTGATGATGGCATCATCGCGGCAGCAAGAGCAATTGCGATCGATGGAAGCGGAGAAGATCCGAGCAGCCGTGAATGATATTGAGCTCGTGGACGGTCATGCGCATAACCTCGTGGCGCTTGAATCCTGTCATCCTTTCCTGTCTGCCTTCTCGGAAGCCCATGGCCCAGCACTGTCTTATGTACCGCACACGCTGTCCTTTAAGGTGATTGTTTTCTGCGTTTCAATGTCATGGCTTTCATGAAGTCTTACTCCTGGATTCATGAGGTCACACAGGAGTTTGACTTCATAAATCCGGAAGAATGGTGTCAACATAGTATAGCCGGACAAGAGCTTTGAGTGATTGATTACAGCAAAATATCACTAAACGTCAATTACTCTTCTATAGCACACAGCTCAGGTACACATATGTCTAGATGATCTTTCGTTGAGTTTCCATGATCAGAACGACGGAGGTTTTGCAACATCCAACGATCAACTTCAGCTAGGAATGTGTGGAAAGACTGAATATTTTGAGTTTTCTCAAGCTAATGGTTCTCGTTGAGTCGGGTGATGGTGCTGTACAGCTCACGTCTGACATTGAGACCTCAATATTTCAGAGAGGACTCGAAGACATTGCGAATTTATACAATTTAGGAGCATCACTTGAGAGCATTCAGGAATTTCGCCAAAATAGTAGCCTGACCGCTCTGAGTATAAAGTGCTTCAAGGCGGCTAAAATCTCCACCGTGCTCTTAGACGATGGGCTTGAATTTGATGGTATGAAAGATCTCGCCTGGCATAAAGAAGTGGTCGGCGATGTACACAGAATCCTCAGAATTGAATATCTTGCAGAAAATATCCTCAAACAGGTACTACGGTTCAGTATCTAGGATGTTACTATCCAAGAAGAGAATTTGTGATATACATGTGATAGACTGTTCAGATGCCAAGTCTAGCACCACGTCAGCTTGATCGATCATAATTGCCATGTCTTTTCCTAACAACGGAATTTGACCAACGCTGACCACAGGGACTTCCTGGAGTCGGGGACAAGTGGACCCTCAAGAAATTTGAGGAACTTTTCGTGGCGGGCTTGAAATCATATCCCAAATTCATTTTTTCACTTTGTTTGAGGCCATGCTCGTATCTGTCTTCTCTCTATTTGTTAAATTAGAGGAGCACTCTATCTTGCTGCCCTTTCTTAGGCTCCAAATGTTCTTTGACTTAAACCTTACACAAGCATCGAGTGTGGTTGCTTTCAAAAGTATCGTTGCATATCGCAGTGGGTTGAGAATCAATCCATCAGTGACAGATGAAGACGCCGAGAAAGGCCTAGTGCGGACAGTAGGTGAGCACGATCAGAGCTTGGAAGAACGTTAGTAGAGCAATGTCAGATTGAGGCAATCATTATAAGCGATTCTCGTGCTATTTGCACCAACATACCGAAACTTTTCTGACAATCAGTGGTAAACCTATTGCAGGGACTGTCGAAGAAATACGTCTCACAGATAAGAACCTCACCGACTGGATTTTCACGAAAGCGTTGGAGCTGGCAACGAGCCATGATATTCCCATGCAGATACATACAGGGTACTGACACGTTGCATTGTATTATAATTCGATTATGCACTGCGGTTTTTTCCAGTAATCTGGAAGATCCTCGGCAATGGTACCCCACTGGTTTGAGTTGTCTAGCCCGATACGTGCTAAGCCCTTGAGATTGAAATCGTAGTACTGAAAGGAATATACTTTAATTGCAATTTGACCTCTACAAGTTAAGGTTGATGTAATAATGATATGCTGTGTTGTTTCAGATTTGGAGATGTAGATCTTGATCTGGAGTTGGCAAATCCGGTTCTCCTCCGGTCCATTCTCGAAGACTTGAGATTTAAGCATGCACGAATTGTACTCTTGCATGCAGCGTACCCCTACATGCGACAAGCATCATACCTGGCCTGCGTGTATCCTCAGGTGTGTACTGCAATTGGTGACGTTGTTTAGGAATTCGTTCTTGGAGAATTGTTCTCTATTCATGGATTGTGTTGTCTTCGCTCTGAACCAGTTCTTGGTTGCCTGACAAATTTTCTTCAAACCGACTAGTCAGAATACCTCGACAAGCAACGCAGAGCTTGCTATTAGCTTCAGATTATGGAGGTCTTTGACACTCTGTCTTCTATATTGGTTCGGGAAAAGGTGCATGTAAAGAGGCTTGCACTTAACTTAGAGCTGCCAAAACTTAACATCTTCTTGTCCAATAGATACACTTAGATTTTGGACTGGCTATTCCAAAGTTGAGTGTACGGGGAATGAAAACTGCAGTCGCTGAGCTATTGGAGCTTGCCCCAATTAATAAGGTACAAATCTTCTTCCATTGCACAGTTTCCGCTTTCTTCAGATGAAAAGTAGTAGTTCGGCTTCGATGTCTGAATGAACACCTTACTTAACCTGCTATTTCGATGACAGGTGATGTTTAGCACGGATGCATATGCGTTTCCTGAGACGTACTACTTAGGTGAGCTGAACGAGAGAAGTACTTTTTATATACAACCTCTCAAGGCCGCGAATGTATAGTCTGCACAATGCTGTTTGGGAGAGCTATAATTGGGACGATAGTCTTTTGGGATGTTGAACCTGAATTGCGCTATTCAAGATTGGCCAAGTTGCCTCATGCCACTACATTCATGTCAACAGGAGCGAAATGGGCCAGGACGGTTTTAGCGGAAGTTCTGTGTGATTGTGTTGAGGAGGGAGACTTGTCCGTTGACGAGGCCATTGCAGCTGCAGAGAGCATTCTCAGCAAAAATTCTTTAGCGTTTTACAAGTTGACGACCAGAGCACAAACTTCAGACAATTCAGAGAACCAAAAAGCAGTTGACACAAACGCTTCCAAAAACTTTGAGTGTTCACATTCTTCATTGTCAGTTTTGGACAAGGTCGACTACGTTCGACTTTTGTGGGGAGACACCACAGGCCAAAGGCGATGCAGAGTACGTTTTTGACTTAATTGAACCTCCCAGTCGTATGTACTTTTCGCTGTCTTCTGTTAAGTACCCGTCTGTTCCCTCTTCACTTGCAACGAGCCAACGAGGTTGGCTCTCAACGTCACGGCACATGGACCATCACAACAAAGGGTTCTAGTATTATATTATGTGTCTGGTTCAAAACACAGTTTGAACCTTCATTTGAACCTGTGCATGTCTCCAGACTTCTTCCATCTTTGTTACCTGCTTGCGAGGCACGGAAACTTGCCAGTAGACGTCGTTGTGGGATGCGAACCTCATTCCACAATTTGCAATCTCTCGCGAACCAAGTGATTGTAATTTTCAGATTGTCTTTGGCCTATCCAATATCTGATGCGGAAAGGGTGCAGAAACTGAGTTTTTTCATGTACTGCAGTTATGTTTGGTAAAGAAACAATTGTCTGGTCATATGCAGGTGGTTCCTTCAGCAAGATACAAAGCCGTTGCTTTGAAAAACGGACTTAGCTTGGCGACGTGTTGCATGGCACTGTCTTCACACAAAGACGCTCCTGCAAGAGGTTCTGGTCTATCGGGAACCGGAGAGATTCGACTCATGCCTGATGCCAGCACCCTACTGGAAGTACCTCAATGGTATCAATGAAATGTTGCACATGAATCAAATGTTGGCAGTATAACACAAGTTTAGCTTCAATGGTTGTGATTACAACCCTGTGTGAGTAAATGACAAGTGTGTATCAAGTGATTTTTCTCCTGGATGATGGTAGGAATCACGGCTTGGTTCTTGCGGATATGCACGTGAAGCCTGGTACGCCGTCTGAACTATGTCCAAGGACAACGTTGCGCCGCCTCACTGGTCTCCTCGAGGAGGAATATCAACTGGTGCGGGATTGGGGACTTTGCGGAAGGGTGTTCAAAACTTTGTATATTGTTCAGATGTTTTGACATTAGTTTCTAAAGATACATATGGATGCAGGCGTTAACTGTTGTTGCACATGCAGACGATGCGCGCAGGTTTTGAAGCAGAATTTTATCTTCTAAAGAAAGCTACGGAGTAAGCTCAAAATTTCTCTGCGCGCTATATAGATCAATGTCTGTACCTTCTTTACTCCGGTAAAAATTATCAAAAATCAAAATATTGGTTTAAGGTCTAGAGATGATGACAACAAGTCCGTCCGTTTTGTCAGTCATATATGCGTACTGATGTTAGTTTGTGCGCACTGTCTAGACCAGAGAGGTGGGAGGCGGTTGACTCTTCTTCATACTGCTCCAGCACTGGACTAACGCAATCTTTAGCCACTCTGGAGTGCATGTTGTCTTGGCTTAACACAATGCAGATCAATATTGAGCAGGTAAGAACTGTTTTTATCTGCAGATCAACCGACTTATTTCGATGTCAATTCTGATTGTCGCAGCCAGTTGTTGCAAGAAGTATTCTTATAATATAGCCCTATGGAACACACCTCTCTTGCAGTTTCACGCCGAAAGTGGTGGGGGACAATTTGAGTTCGCTCTGGCGCATGAGCCCATTTTGATAGCAGCCGACAAACTCCTCCTAGCACGGGAGGCCATAACAGCAGCTGCTTTACAGCAAAATTTTCTCGCAACGTTCATACCCAAGTGAGTACTGCAGACTTCCTCCGCATTTGCTTTTGATACGAGCTGCGATACACATACGAGCTGGTGATACCATCAACCTACTATCTAATCCTTGAGTCCAAGCCCAGAGGTGTATTCTTTTCTTCCAATTCCTTGAGCCCAGCAGACTTCACACGTGAATGAGCTAGTGAACGGATTCTCGGCCGACACTTGGAACCTCCGAACGATCCTCCTGTAAGGCGATAAGTTCTTCGCGGGAAGAACATTTTTCACCTTCCCGATTCATGTCTTTGTTTTTTTGTTAATAGCACCGCCCACTCAGGGAGTGTGTCTGTTTTTCGGAGTAGTCAAATACTTGAGTAGTCTGATCCACAATTTTCTCTTTTCACTCTTTCTATCTTTTCCATTTTCGAAGGATTTATCCTTCTTCATACCAGAAAAGTGGAAAAGTCCAGCATATTGTACAGCATCAATGATATCTCGAAGGATGAAACTGATCACGTTCTTTTGCAATTGTTGCAGGCTGAACTTGAAAACCACGCCTGTCGGGAGCGGTTCCCATGTCCACTTGAGTCTTTGGAAAGAAGGAAAGAACGTGTTTAGTGCTGAATCAAAAGCTGATTCTAACTTTGGCATGTCCGAGACGGGAAGCAGTTTTCTTGCAGGCGTCCTGCAGCATCTGCCCGCTATTTTAGCATTTATTTGCCCGCATCCAAACAGGCAAGGATATCGCCATTCTTGTGTTCAATACCAAGTATCAACAGGCTTTTCCTTTCAACTGCCACTCGTCCTACACTTGCAAACGAGGAATTGGTGATGATCCCTGACGAGGCTGATATATCGTTCGTCCTGGTATCAGCTACGAGAGGCTCAAACCGAACATGTGGTGCGGGGCATTTCAATGTTGGGGCCAGGTAAATCGGGAGGCACCACTGCGAACGAGCAGTCCTCCTGATGTGTCAGATGGCGTTGTTAGTAATTTCGAGCTCAAATCTTTCGATGGCTGTGCAAATCCTCACCTTGGCTTGGCAGCAATCGTAGCGGGAGGCCTTGATGGTTTGAGAAAGAAGCTGAAGTTACCGGCACCAGTCGGTGAGTCAGACTTTGTCTACAGTTTATGAAAATGGGAGGTTCAAAACAGACTCGTTCATTTCGGTAATGCCCTGCCACTCTGGCGTTCTTAGTGAATTTCTTGACGTATTCAATACGTGTTTGCAGATGGTAATCCAGCCGACGAGGTTGAAGGTGTTATTCGGAAGTTACCTCGTACATTAGAAGACGCTGCCCAATGTCTCGAGGAGGATGACTTGCTGCGGCAGTTGATGGGGGAACAACTGGTTAAGGTTGTTCTTGCAATTCGACGGGTACGTTTCTTACTTTCGTCGCTTGTGCAGTTCGCTGTCCTTTCGTATCAGCCACGCACAAATAACTTCGTTACACAATTAGACTCATCCACCTTACTTACAGATTGCGTTTAGTAAGGTAAGTAGAGCGGATTACCTCATGACTTATATATTCGAAGTCTTTCGTTCCGAACTGTACACTGTAGTGATGATGTGTATCAACTAACTATCCTTCATTGTTTTTCTACTACGAACACTACGAACTTTGTTTCCTCACGGGTTTATTTTACATCATTGCATGCTGCAGTTTCTCATTCCTGTAAAGGAATGAGAAACGGCAGCATGCCATGAAGTAAAATAAAACCGGAGTTCAGTTTTCCTTTGGAATCTTTCTTCTCGTTAAACCTCAGTCAACAGGAAATCTCAGCTAGGGCGCTTTATCTATAGTCTGTCGCCTAAAGCATAGCAACTGTCACGACTACCTTTGGTTGGTGCCGTGTAACGAAGAGCTTCTAAAGCTGAGCTTGTTTGTTTCAGGCTGACGTAGCACATTACAAGTCCTTGTCGCCGGATGACCTTCTGTACAAATATTAGAATTACGATTTCTGGTCGAGGTCGGAAGTAGTTTACGTGCGCACTATCATACCATCGTGCGGATGGAGAAAACGCAAATTGTTCTGCGTATGACGGCCGTAGAATTAGTGGCTCATTCATACGAATGTTATTTTGGCACTCCAACTTAAGTGCTTGAATGTCATATAATAGTATTTTCAGCAAAGGCAAGTAATACACTAAATGAGGAGAGGTTCTTGGGTAGCATGAGTAGTCCGCTGTGCATTGTTTGCTTGAAGGAAAACTTGGCTACCTTAGAGAAAACGAAGACAATCTTCAGCATTGAACTGAAATTTACAAATTCTCCCAGACGACTACGTAACTTAAGTTCCCCTTCTGAAAAGGGGGATGTTATCTCACTCGTTTACGGGCATTACTTGATAGCAAGAGTCTTCACCACAGTAGACAAACATGCACTTACAATTATCATTATCGAAAGGTAAACGATCACTTGATACAAACACGTCAGCACGTCGTGTATACCATCACAAACGAAGGTGCCAACAATTATCAGGTCATCCGGTGGTAATGGGATGTTGCTGAAATCCGATCCTGGACGAGATATTGCTATCTGCCTTTACTTCACGTCGGCCTAAACTTTGAGAAACATTCGGCACGCCTTGTCTGGAAACAATGTAAGAAACTGCCAATAGGAACTTGTTTACATGGCAATATGTGAAGCCTGACTTGCATTGATGAATATGAAATTTGGCCGTAGCCATATGTCAGCATGTTCCTATATTCACCAGAGTAATAATAATCGTTTTATACACATGGTGAAATGGCAAAGACAGTCGCCATCGCGTATGCTAGAAGTAACTTTAGCCCAAAAATAACAACGCAAGCGGACATTGCAAATGTTGCTGGCTTCCGCGTTTTCACTAAAGTTGAATTACTCGCAATTTGTGTAAAACCATATCCTGACGTGGCTAAACTTCGGTTTTCTACATCTTCTGAAATCTGAAAACCGAGTATACATGAAAGAGTGAAGAATGAAACGAAAATGTGAATCAAATTGGACGTTAAAACGGTAAAACGATGAAAAGACCCCCTCTGTATTTCAGCGATGAAACCATAGGGTTTCGTTGGGAAGGACTCATTAGCACCACACTGGAAATTAATCGTCCTGCAGCTCACATATCCTTACCTATATAAGTCAAAAGATCTACAAACATACGAGTTGCTTCTTCGCATAATATTCTTCGTACACATGTACAGACAAATTCAAACATCTACAGAACTTGTCCGTTCATGGATTAATTAAACAAGTACCACAGAATTGTCAAACAACAAAATGTGTTCCAAACTTCTAACTGATTCTATCAAAATAGTGAGCATTGCTATATACAAAACCCGACTCGGTCGCTTTCAGGACAACTTGCAAGAAAACAACAATCTTCTAGGTCGTCTGACCTCCATGTCTCAGATGAACACTCACGTGCACGATCAAATAACATAATCACTCTCGACAATGATCAGAACAAACTTCACAAAATTTTTCTGCTGAAAATTTACATGGCCGATTTCAAGATGCATGAACACTTCGTTTTAACTTCTTCATTTACGGACCCACCAGAGCGTAAATCTATGTTGCATTTGTTTCTCTTTGCGCTCTTCAAGTTTCGTACCAAATTTCTGGCAAACCCAATGCAAATCTGCATTCAAGAAAAGATCATATCACTTCACTGCGAGATCCTAACAATGAGAAAGGTTAGAGCACGGAGACGGGAGACTGACAGTACATTTAGAGGTCTAAGAAAACAATCAGTCCTAATGTTGCCGGAGAACTGAATGAAAGCTGAAACTGGAATCTTCATTCCTATCTACAAATCACATGTAAATCTTGGAATAATCGGAGACACAATTCAGTTCATGCAAAGTTTTCTCGAAGATTTTGAAATCCTAAACTACACCAAATTATTTACTTCGAAAGACCACGAATTCCGTGACGTCGTCTCTTTGAGCCAAAATGTGTGAGACTGCTATCGCGTGACATACATAACAATAGAGACAGAACTCATCCACATCACAGTTCTATTCTAAAGAAGTGCAAACATCTCATAAATATCACTGACCGGGGAGACGTATTTGGTCTCTGTTTGTGATTGTACACAAATTGTTCTACCGATTCTAAGCTTTAACAGTGCCGCCAACAATGTCCGCAATTAGTGAAACAGGCCTTCTTTCGATAACTTCATCAATCAAACCAAATCCCTTTGCCTCTTCGGGGGACATGAAGTGATCCCTCTCCATGCTCTGCTCAATAGCCTCGATGTCTTTCCCTGTATGACGAACATACAGTTTGTTCAAACGCATCCTCATATCGAGGATCTCCCGTGCCTGAATCGCAATATCACTAGCTTGACCGCTTGCTCCTCCTGATGGCTGATGAATCATAACCCTGGCATTAGGTAAAGATCTCCTCTCTCCAACAGCACCAGCAGCAAGTAACAAAGAGGCCATGGACGCTGCCTGACCCACGCAAAGTGTACTTACTGGGCTCCTTATATACTGCATTGTGTCATAGATGGCCAATCCAGCCGTGACAACTCCTCCCGGAGAATTGATGTACAAGTGAATTGGTTTTTCTGGATGCTCTGATTCCAAGTACAAAAGCTGGGCGACAACGAGGGAGGCGGTATCGTCAGAGATTGGACCATGTATGGACACAATGCGCTCTTTCAGAAGACGAGAAAATATATCGTACGCTCGTTCGCCTCGTGATGTGTGCTCGATTACCATAGGCACCAGCCCGTAACTCCTGCTTCCGACCGGAATTTCACATACTGGCAAAGGAACTTGTCGATGCAACAAAGAGCTAACACTCGAGAAGAGTTTGCTGCAGCCGTATCTCATTTTGTGCACGAGAGAAATCAATCAACCTGCTAGCAGCGCTATAGCTCACTGAGCCGCGCTGGTAACGAATCGACGACCTGAGCTAAAATAAACAGGCATTCTCGACTTATGCGAATGGTGAGCAATCAAACAAGCATGAAAATTTCGCTCTCGTTACTTTCGACGGTGCTCGACAGATACGACCTGGATGTAGTGATCCAAGAGCAAGACGCTTGCAATTCACGTCCTAACATGTTAGGGCAGTTCTATAGCGGTTATTCTGACTCCGAAACCAATACTGGAAATTTAAGAGTGCGTGTTACAGATAATGGCAGAAGAGATGCTTACCTGGTTGTTACCGGAATATGAGTTAAAGTAAATTTCGACAAAAAGGAAAGTAAATAATCAGCAAAAGCTTATCACCCTCCATGATTCATTGAACAGTTCATTCTATTTCCGTACATAACAGATTCTAATATGTGATGAAATTTTCACAATTTTCCTAATGTTTTTTTATCAAATATCGAATTTGATGAAAAAAGAAAATTTAAATTTAAATTTTGATGTGAAAATAGTAAAATTAGTAAAAAAATATTAAAGAAATATAATACTTCACGTGTGAATTCATGGAAAAATATTTTATATATCAATTTTAATTGAAAAATCAAGTTGTCTATGTTAAAGTTATTCAAATTCGCATTCTCCACATCTGAATTTAAGAATATTGACTCCAAATAACTAGTTGAAATCTATATCTTGAGTTTAAAATCTACTTCCTACAAATTTTTTTCTCTTATTATGCAAACTATCCTAATTGCATCTTTTTATATAAAAGTTTTATTAGATAAACCACAAAAATTATCATACATATAATTATGTCATCACATCATAATACAATAGACTTAGATTTACATTATGCACATCCATTTAATTGCGCATTATTATCTTCATAAATAGGATTCAACATTTATTAGTTCACCTCGTCATAGATAGTCATTTGGGCGCAAGTTTTGAAAATTTTGCACTTGGAAATTTTAATGATGTATTTTCATCTAGCATTAGAAATTTGTATGTCAATAGTAGTATTAAAAACAGAATTGGTCCATATTGTAGACTTATTCAGATCATATTGGGCAATAAAAATGTAGGTATACTTTAAAGCTTCCTGCAATTGGATTTGTTAACTTCAGCTTCCTTTCACCTAATCATCAACTTTTGCAACTCTCATCGTCATATATTGGAGTCAATGATTAGTAAGATGATTTGAAGTTTGTTTTCAAAATTGATAAACTTGATGCAATACTTTTTTCTTTGACGATGTTGGAATATAACAATTTTTATGACTCATGCTGTCACTCTAAATGTGAAGGATGTCTTCAAGCTCAATGAAACAACCAACAAAGGTTTAAAAAACCTTCTCTTTGAGGTTATTAAATATTAAAGCACATATTGGTATCATCATATAACATAATGGTATTTTATCTTGCTTGTACAACATAATTTTGATAGCTTCTTCACTAACATTGTACTCTTGTGCGCTAGAATACTTTTACTTGGAGCATTCGTGATACTCAGCTTCTTTATTATATCACATTGTTGAAATTCATATAAGCGTTAAATTTTTATGATGAGCTATGTGCTATTACACTTCTCTATATGACATCATTGAGGTTCATATAGACGTATTCGATTTTTTTGACAATGGAGTCAAAACTATTAGAAAATGATTCGTCTATATACCCATATATTGACTGAGCATGCACAATCGCCCAAGTTCAAGATGCGTATTTAGTACTACTGTACATATATCATGGCACATAATCACCAACAAAAGTTAACAACAATTTCACTTATTTCACCATTATTATTAATTTAAAGAGTCAAATTCATGAATGTATTTTAAAATTTATGAATCTAAATTCTTAAACTTTACTAACTTGATTGTTGTTGTCATGATAAATCAAATTAATGCACTTAATTAAATATCTACATCATGCATTAGATTTTTTTTTCAACAAAGATCATTGATATTACATATTAAATTATCTATTTGATTTAAAATATATATTTATCAAAAATTTTGGCAACATCCTTAATTTTAAACTCATAATTTATCATCATCTTGATATAATATTTCATAAATAGCTGAAATATTATATTAATCTGACATACAACCATAAAGTCAAAATTCATAATATTCTATATGTAACTTCAAATCTATGAAATTGATATATTTTTTTAAGTAGTTAAGTAAAAGATTTCTTATAATATACTATAATTTTTTTACAATTATTTTATAAATTTCATAAATATTAATTTACAAATACTATTCATTGCATCACATCATAAATTGCTATCACATCAAACATTACAGATCACATACTATTATAACACAAATTTATCATGTTTAAATAAATGTTTAAATTTTTTTTTGAATGAATAAACATAGACGACGTCAACAAATATATTCTATGAGTCACCATTTTTGGATTATGTTCAAAAACCTTGAGATCTTTATTGAATGATACTTCAGAGATTTTAGTGCAAGTCGTGGTTTTTTCTCCTATCTATTCAAGGTAGAAGAAATTACAAGTCTAATACTAACTCCAACCCGAATCAAGTTAATAAGTGTTTAATCTGAGATTTAAAGTGATACGAACAATTTCTCCCTTATCTTATGTTGCAAGAAGTATTTTCTCCAAAACTTATATAATTAATCCTCAATAACTTTTAGAAAGAGAACTAACATAAATACCTCTTTAGAGCAAGTATCAAAAATTACTAGTATGTTTTACGTTTGCTCTGCATGCAAAACATGCATAAAAGCACAACGTTTGCTAAGAGTTTTAGCAAACTCTTCAAAGTAATAACTTTGATTAGTTCAATATTTTTATCGCACACGGCATCTCTAATCAAATGAAACTTGATGCCAATATCTTTCATTCAATTTTACATCATTTGATTTGGAGCAAAATGTAATGCATTCTGACTATCTCAATATATATTGAACTTTCAATCACTCTTTATTTATCAATTTATTCAACCAAATAGCTTTTCCTATTTTTTCTGTTGTCGCTACATATTCAACGTGTATATCTGAATTCATATATGCATTTCTTCAAAAAATATCTTTAACTAATGCTCTCATCATCAATTGTAAACACATATCAAGTATTAGATTTTTTCTTATTCATATTTTATCCAGAGTCAACATCAACGTAGCATAGCGAGGATTTGACATATTCTAATAATCCATAAACAATGTATCACAATACTTATTATTTTTTAGGTACAACAAAGTGCAAAGTAGTAAGTACATCATGAAAAGTACTACTTTTCAATGCAATTTTCTTGGATTTGATATACATGGTTGCCTTTAGCATAGCTAGAGTTATGTTTGGTTTTGTGCACATAATCAAATACATGAAACTGGCTAGAGCTTTTTCATAAGTAATTGATGACATATTTTACTTTTTAATGGCACAGGTTGAATATTGAGCTTCATTAAGTTTGAATGATGGTGCCAAAGTAATACATAATAATATTTGTCATGTTAAATATGTCAAGCACACATTGATAGTACTTTCTTCAATTCAAACATGATCTTTTTTTTTGCAAATCCTTGTGAATATCCATTTGTTATATACTATAGGTTTTATCTAACTTCTTCATTTTAAATGTAAACCTTAGCTAGTTTTAATATTTTTTGTCATTGAATTGATTTTTTACCAAGATGAAGATGTCATTCACGTATAATACTAGGATAATAAGATTAAAAATACTATTATTTATCTTCTTCATGTATACACATAGATCATACACATATTGTGATAATACTTGTGCTTTCATGAAATCGTCAAACCTGGTGATTCACTCCATAGTAGCTTGTTTCAATATAGCTTGCTATTCCATTAAAAAAAAGTTGATTATACCATATTCTCAGTCAAAATCACACTCTTCAAGAATAGATGAATTAGGCCACAATTCATATCTTACATTAACCTTATTAATTTGATTTATGATTTTCTAGTAAAGAGTTCAGATTGATCTTTAATGCTAAGTGCATATGCTTAAAGCTCACCAGTGATAACATTTTAGTTCTAATTTTTGTTTTTTGTACATTTGCTGTATTTATATTAGAGCTTATCTTTGTGTCACATCATAAATGACATAATGATCAATCTTCACTCTAATAACATCTGTGAGTGGAAATTTGTCGCTATGAGTATGAAGAGCTTGAGAAATTTTCCCAGCTTTCAATGATTTGAATTCATAAAAAAAAACCATGTTGAAAATATTTTACATGTTACTTGATCCCAAAGTTTATAATCCTTCACATCACTAACATATACAAAGAAATGGTACTTCTTCAATTTGATATTATTTTACTTAAATATGACAGGATAAATTCTACAATAAAAAATCCTTAAACAGTTATATCCATCATCTGTTTGTGGCTCAATTCAAGTAATAACAAAAAACTTATTGCTCAATATTTGTGCAGAGTAACAGATTGGCTCAAAATATTGCAAACTTTTCTAATCCTATATATATCATGTATTTACATCTCAAGCATTCATTTCTTAGAATTCTATTAAAAATACTTTAAATCTAACATTCTAAAAGTAGATCCAATTTTTTTTCTTTCCAGTTACATATCTAACTTGAGTTCATATATATTGCATTCCATCAAACATTTAAATCTTAAGAGATTCCTTACTCTACATCCTGCATTGATTATATTTTATAAAAATGAAATTGCTTGATATAAAGCATTGTGTAAAATCCGCAAGTCACCAACATTTTTGGATGAATTGCAAAGTGCAGATTTTCATATCATATATCATCGTTGGGTAAATCATACTTCTTGTCATAAAACTCTTGAGCCACTTTGGCTTAAACAAACTAAGCATCTTTGATCTTTACATGACAGTACTTCTTGAAGTCGACCGTTTTGCCACATTTTCAACACCACCATCTTACTCTCTAGAAATTTATCAAAATTCAAGAATTTACTAATGGCGACGCAAGTCGAACATAAGAATCAAGATCAAGAGGAGAAAAATAAAAATAAAAAAGGTCCAAAGCAACTAGATCCAAAACAATCTAAAAACACAACAGAATGTTGAAAACTTCATCGTACAAACTTAAAAAATTTAGGACTAAATAATTTTGAAGATCATTTTTTCTGCATTAGATTTGTGCATATAAGATACAACTTAGACCATTAATCATCACTATGATAAAATTAGAGTGCTTGGCGTTTGAACAAGACAAAAAATCAAAATTTTGTATTTTAGAGAAGTCAGAGTTCCAAACGCCAAACACATGAGTTAAAGTAGTGATTTTACCTCCAAAATCCAATCCTTTGACAACTGCAGCAAATCAACGCCAAATCGATATGCACACAAAAAGATTGGAAGAATTGACAAGAGCAAACAAAATTTATATTCTAAACGTGGAATAAAAAATGGTCCAATTCAGCAATCTTATAGCTCGATCCAAAATCACAAATCAATTAAAAAAATGACCATCACACATAATTAAGATGTTCCTTCTAGCTAGATCAAAATATTTGATCTAGCTAGAAGGAACATCTTCTAGTCGTTATATGTAGCCTTGAAAGTAATGCTAGAATCAAGCAAATCTTCTACTCACCTAGTAGAAGGTAAAAAGAGATCAATTATAAACGCTTTACTCATCGTGTGGGGAGTATTTTGTTTTTTTTTTCTGGAACAAAATAATCTAAGCGTTCCTTGATTCATCTTTCTATCTAGTAGTTATTGTGCCAACAAATGTCATCTGAAGTACTTGAACAGTAATCCTTAGCCCGCCATGAATACCTTTACTTGCAAGAAGGTAGTTGCTTGTTTTTTTCTTGTGCTCATGTAATATTGAGTGAAAACCGTGAGAAATTTCAAAAGTAGACAAATGATGGAAAAAAAATCTAATAAAAACTTTAAATATCAGGAACGCATCGACAAAAGAAAATAAGTCGGATGAGCTCACGTCCATCACTTGTTATAATACCTTTAGCTTTGAAGTCGAATATCAAGTTTCATCATCAGGAACATGTCCTTGCATGGACATGAAATTCCACGGCATGTTAAGTTACTACTTGAGCCCACATTCGTAACGGTACTGAAAATACTAGTCCTCATCATCGTAATGATAATCTTACGTAAGATTCCATGAAATGTCCTTCTACAACCGCAGTAATTTGACGTCCATCTCAAATTCCCGTTCCAAATGCCAGCTTCGTGAGGCATAAGGATCGTTGACCCAGTGAAAAATTCCCTGCAGAAGTTCACATGTCATCGTATAAGCGGCGGCTACCTGTGCCGTAAGGCAGCCTCAAATGGCGCGATCATGTTACGAGAAACATGCAGTGAGAAGTGGAATTGAGCATGGTAAAAGTAGAAACTAGAGATGATCCCTCGGTCAAGACTGGATCTACAGATGAATCGCTTGGCTCTGCATTACGAGATAAGAACGGGCATGTGCAATCCGTACTTCAAGACGTACAGTAGAATCAAGCCCTAGTCGAAAGGGCTTCGGACTCTGAGCTTGTACCCAATTGTCAACGGCTCTCCTCCTGCAAGTTGCAGAAAATGCAGCTTTCCGCGTTGATTGAACCTGTCAAAGACCGTCCCGCACTGATTTCTGGTTGACTTTGGAGCCATGGACAGGCTAAGGGAAATTGTATAGAACACCTTTAACAGACTCCCACACCTAAAGAAGATCTTCTACTTAAGGGAATTGACAGCGTTAGAACAAGGCAGGTCAGTTTGGAGCAGCAGAGCACATCTCACAAAGGCTGGACGAAGTTTCGAGCACATGTTCAATGTCCATTTCGTGTGACAACAGGAGGTTTTTTGGCAGTTGATCGTGAGGGGCAAGTCATGTAGCAGTCTAGGCCGTTGCCCATCTTGCCAAGCAGTAGAGGCGAAAATTCTCCATTCGTGTCGTGGCCAAAGATGAATCCTTCACAGAGCGGCTTGCTCTAATGTTCGAGCGCTGCAAATTCGTCGAATAGAGGGGTGTATATTTTATGCAATTTGCAAGTGGAGAAGGCGGACTTCTAAGTGGAATTTGATGATTAGGGTCAAGTCTTATGTTGTATGACCTGTGTACTGACTGCTCTCAGAACTCAAGCTTTGAACGCTCGAGCTGCAGCTGGTTGAACGGAAATCTGTCCGAAGGTTGGTCAGCAAGCTTACTAAAATGGAGGTCACTAATGTCTATGCAAAAGTCCTGATTATTGCTACAGTTGGAGGGGCTTTTCTACTTTGCATCGTCTTTGGAGCATTCGCAATCGATGGGGACATCGTGTTCACCCACCGGCAGATTTTGGTGGGCGTTTTTCTCATAATAGTTGGAGCCTTCGGCTCTTGTATTGTAACTTGCATGTGCTGCATGGGAGTAGAAAATACTCAGGTGACCATGGACTGCTGTGGCTTGTCATTTGATATTGATTGAGTTTGCAGGCCATTGTACTCCTGTCTGAAATCTGATTCAGAAGGTCCCAGCCCTGAGTGGCGTGGCCAGATACTGAAGAAAGCCTCTCACCGGGGAGCGGTGATTGACTGTCTCTAAAAAACAGGCGATTCAGCCTCTTGTGCCAAGTTTGCATGTACAGACAAGTAAACAGTCAATTGGTCATTGCGACAATTGCAGAAGAGTTTAATTCCATGATTCCTTAAAAACAGCCTCGCTGGTTATTCTCTTTCCTATGAAGTCATCCATACTGATGCAGAGATATTCGGTCTTTGAACGTTCGTTTATGTCCAAATGCACAAGACGTCTAAAGGCTCAAGGAATTACATTCTGCACGCTTTTGATTTGCTAAATATGCTATATACATGTCATTAGCCGAATTTCGCACGGTGAACGTGAATTCGCACAATTCGAACATGAATTGTGAAAATTCCTAAGTTAAAAAAATATCCTATGACAAAATGTAGTCTTGCGGTATGAGAATCAAGCATGATATTGCTCATCATACTGTGATTTGGTTCAGTCAGGACTTCACGTTATATGCTACATTTCCTACTTGAACCACGATGAGTTTATGCAATTAGGACATGACATGCTTAAACCTGGACGCCTACCATCAACATTAAAACTTAGTTTATCGTTTTCTAAGTGATTCGGATCCCCGGGATGTCATGGCCTACACTAGATCCAAACACCATATTTGCTACCTTGCACTCAGGTTCTAGCTTGAAATGTCTTAGTGCATGTTTTTACTGTCTGAAAAACTTTCGGTTCTTCGGCATTACCGGCCTGACCCTACTCGTATAATCTTACTTCTATGGTATTTGTACGAATACCAAGTCATTTGTCCGAATACAAGGTTTTACTACGCTTTTGGCTAGAATAACCCCCACCGTATGCTCTCTGGGCTGATGGGATACGTAAACCGTTCGATTGTCACCGTCACTGTCACCCAGTGGGATTCACCATCACCACCATGGGGTTTCGCGTTTTGCACCCAGGACGAGACCGGCCGAACTTTTCGTCTAGCATTTCTTTTCTTTTGATGCACTCTCGGATTTGCGATGGATCACGCAACTCGGAGTTTTGGAGAGCGATTTCTTGCATTCAAGCTTCTGCGTCGCGATTGGCAGAGCATTCGCGTTTGTAGGGGGCGAGGAGTTCCAAAATAACCACATGAAAATTAAAAATAAAACATTTGAGTGATGACGTTTTGGTTCAAGAAGCATTGTTGAAAATTGCTTCTCAATCAAGATAGAATGACCAGAATTGACAAATCCTTATTTTGAATAAACAAGATTGATGAAAACATAGTGAAAGGTACAAGGCAAGAAAGAGTAAGCACAACAACAATTTCCTGTAACAAATGTAAGATGATGAAATGGAACGGAAAGACTGGATTATTAGCACAGCTTACTGGTGGAGACTGTTTGTGGCAACACAAGAATAACACGATCATCAGGTTGCAACAGGATAAAAGAGAAAGTGGAAAATGATGAGAGAAAATTTCATGTAGTAGGTGGATTCTTGGTTGATACTAGTGCAGAGTAATATCCCTACATGACTGCAGTAAAGATGGTGTTGTTCCACGTGTTGGATAGATAATATGTGCATTGAGTTTAATGTTGTGGACAAACATTTGATGGCTTAAATTTAGTATCATGAATTTAGGATTAATACTTCCTTAAATAAAAAATTGGACAACATATATTAAGTGGGGAGAGCTCACTAGCCAAATGATTGAAACTATAGAAAACTGCAGGGTATCTTGTTTTATGCGCCACGCTAAGAAAAAAAAACAAACCGTCACCAACATGGAGTCAGAGTACATACAAAGTATAGTATAGTATAAAAAGCCAAAGTATACCTTTGCAGGACAGCAAAAACGCGATGACGGCCGCGTGTACGCCACCCAGTGAATGTATCATTTTAGAATTGTACAATGCTCAAGTTTACAACATGTCACAATTTGAATGTGCCGTTGTTGAGATTGTAATTCAAGCTTGATTTGTCCTTCTCATGTGAACGTGCTGTGTTGTGTCCAATCCATTCGCTGCTCCCGTCGTGTGGAGTGCTTTTGAACATATCGTTGATACATCCAATTTTTCTAATTTCTTCTTTAGCCACCGTTTTATCCTTGTGTGCACTGCACTACCTAGCGTGTTTTGTAACAATATTGCAGTTTTAAGCATATATGTGGAAGGAGTAAGATCTCTACTTTCTTTTTTATATGGCTATTGGCTTTTCTATAGTGTTCATAACCCTAGTATGAAGACTTACTAGCATTATTTCTTGCTCATACAAGAAAAGATTTCTACTGAGACATAGATGTGTGCATACCTCTGTAGTTAACATCCATAAGTTATTGAATGAGTATTATGTTGGTTTTGCATGTTGAGTTTGAGGAGATGTATCAATGACATAGCTGTCTTGAAGATATTTTTTTTTTGTTGGGATACATCAACTTAGTTGTGCTACCGTCGACCAGACCTTCTGGGCAAAGAGATAGTCAAAGAAGATGTGTCGAACCGTCTCAGGAGTGTATTCTCTTTGGCAGCATCCGTTTCCATGTCCGATTTTATGCGCTCAGTTGTTGATGTAGAAACCTTGCTGGAGAATTATCCACGCAAAATTTTATCCCTGTTTACATTGTGGCTTTTTGAGAGTTGATGAAAGAAAGTACCACTTTTCCTCAAACTTGAAGGTGCCCAATTTGTGGTTGAGAAATTTCAACTATTGGCATGTTCTTTGACTTTCCTCTAAATCACTCTTTTGCTCCTATTGTGAAACTACATGCTACAAGTTTTTTCCTTAGACTCCATCTCTTACTTGATCTGAGTGTGCAGCTACTTGGGTCTTTAGAGAGAGAAATCTGCGCAAAAAGAGTTGGACAGGTTGGGAGTCTTGACAGTGTGTTTCCTGTTCATCTTGGAACTTTGAGTATCTCCTTCTTTTTCCACGCTTTTGCTACTTGGCTGATATTGAATTTTTTCAATTTTGCCATCACCAACTTCATGAGTGCTAATGTTGAATTACGTTGTTGCAAAATCAAGTTGACTACATACTTGAGGGTGAGGATGTCTGAGATGAAGATGTCTTGTGGATTCCAAAACAAGTCTTTCCGTATTTGCTGCCATCACATATGTAACGCTGCTACTACTTCAGTTTCCGAGAGGTGCAATGGCTAATCTGTAAGTGTCAAATATGATAGACTATAGTGACCTCGTACTAGGTTCTTGGAACGTTTTCTACGATTGCAATGGACTATCTCTTGTAATGCACAACCGATCCAGTTGTGTTGAAATCAATTATGCTTCTATTTCCTAGACCTCCTTGTGCCTTTGATCTCGTGAACATCTCCCATCGGATGAGTGATAGTTTTGTTTCTCCTTCCGTGCTGTAATCCCAAACAAATTGAGTTGTTCTATTTTTTTACAAGTAAGGTTAGATAACCGCATGAGAGAAGTGTAAAGCGTAGGTTGGGCTTGTAGTGCACATTGTAGTAAGGTAATGCATGATTCAAATGAGGAAAGTTTTGAATGCCAACCTCCAAGTGTATTAACCAGCTGCTGCGTGCAGAATTTCTCCTTGCTGAATGTGGATACTTCAAGTTCTATAGGTGCTCCCAGGTATTTGTTGATTGTTCATGTTTCCATCAACCTACACCCTGTAGTTTGTATTTAATCTGATGGTCTATCCATACCAAGGAAACTTTTGATATGGATAGACCATCAGATTAAATACAAACTACATGGTTGAATGGAAGATTTAGCCAAGTTCAGACGTGCTCCAATGCTTGCTTCATATTTTGCTAGGACCTGATGTATTTTGGCAAACAAAGTTTGCGAGCAATCTAGATAAACACCCATGTCGACGGCAAACAATGAATAGTCTAGTCCAACGCTCTCCACTATTTTGTATCCACAAAGTTTGAAGAGTTGAAAGTTATGTTTGAGTTGTGTCATCAACGGCTGAGTTACGAGGGCAAACAACATAGGGACGAGTGGAGATCCTTGATGTACTCCTCTTGTTATTAGAAATCTAAAGGTCTTGAAGACATTTAAGTGAATTGCCGCTGAAGCGTCTTGAATGAGTACTCCTACAAGTCTAACAAAATGCTCTCCCAGCCCGCAGTTTATCATTGTGTCCCACAGATGAGATTGATCCACTCTATCATAAGGTTTTTCAAAATCTATTTTTACAAACATATCTCTACCGTCACTGGTTTTGGCAGCATCCTGTGTCATCCAGAGGGTCATCACATTGTCTAGTATGTTGCGACCCTTGACGAAATCACTCCGTTGAGAAAGCACTAATGCTAGTAGCAGAATTTGAAGTCTACTTGCCAATTATTTGGCAATTATCTAGTAATACGTGTTGAGCATTGTCAGAGGTCTCCAATCTTTGAGCTCCGTTTTGTTGATTGACTTTGGGATGAGTCTGATCATATCCTCGATTACAATTTCAACTAGTATGCTGTTTGTCTAGAACTTTTCTAACATTTTGACGTAGAAGTGTTTCATAAAAGGTCATGTTTTTTGCATTGCTTCTACCGACACTTTGTCAAATCTCGGCGCTTTGTTCTTTGGTAGCGGGAAAAGTACTTCTTCAACTTCTTGGAGTGTTGGTGTGGTAGCTAGCATTGCTCTTTTGGCGTCAAAAATATTTTCTTGTACCCTAGCTATCAGTTGTTGATGTAGGATATGGTCTTCATGTGTTTTCTCCTCTAAACTTTAAAAATCAGTGTAAAACTGTCCTATCTTGCAAGGTATCTGAGCTTGCTCTTGTGTTTCTATATTATTGTCTAACTTTGGAGGTAGAATTTGAGCTCTTGCAGAATTTTGTCGATGAATGTTGAAGAAATACTTACAAGGTGCGTCTCCAAGTGCTAGATGCTTCACCTTGGACCACAAACATATCTTTACATCCCTTTTGTATTTCCTGATCCGCTTCTCAGTTACGAGTCAGTCGAGTCGCGAGAGTTGGCTTATGGTCAGGTTTTCAGGTGCTGTCTGTTGTAGGTGTTTGATTTACTGTTGGAGGATGTTGAAGACTGATATTTGGACCTTGTGCTCTCTTTTCTTGGCTCGTAATTATATCCAAACTTGCTACATCCCTGTGTAGTAAGTCCGTATAGTATCTTCTTATCTATGATGTAATTTTTCCCAAACTTTTTGTATTCGTGCCTGGATTCCATCCTTGGTGAGAAGTGTAGTATTCTATTTGAAGTTTGTGGGACCTCATAGTGCAATTCTACCGTCGTAGGATTGAAAAGTGCCAAATCTAAGACCGTAGAGATTGGTAGGTGATCATAGAGCGTGTTGCCTA